AGCTACGGAGTTCGTGTTTTGTGCAACGCTTACAACAGGCAGCTGGCCGTTCAGAGGAGAGAGATGATGCCGCTTCGGATAAAAGAAAGTCGATCCTTTGCACTCTAACTTATTAACCTAAACACACTGACAAAAGAGGACAATAAAATAACTAGAAACTAAACAACAGTTGAAGACATAAAGATACACGAAAATGAGAAGCAGAGACAGACGAATAATACGGGAAGTGAATAGGATGAGCTACGTGAGATGAAAAAACGTCATTATGTTTTTGTGTTGTTTTGTAGATCCTGTTGTCTTTTTAACTCTTCGAGTCCCAAACAACGCGTCATGTGTGAACCACTCAGTCGCACGAACCCCTTCCCTAACTTAAGTATTTCCTACGAAATCTTCTTCTCATACTCACGGAGTTAGGTGTATCCCCTCCATGATAGCTGTCTGTAGAATTAACATCTTAAGGATGAGAATCACACAGGTACAAATTCTGGAAACCCCAATCAACTGTATTTGGCTTGCTTTGCGAATAACAAAAATCGTCAACCCAAAGGGGAACCTTTAAGTTATAATTGTGACTTGGATATGTGCCCACCTAAAATGACTTGGCATTGCACGCCACCAACTACCATGAAAACAATTCTTGCTGAGCTGATGAGATCAATGGAAACAGACCCAAATACTGGCCCGACCTTCTACATGCCAGCCAATGGGCCACCCGTCGCCGATGATCAACAGTATAATCATTGAACTCTGGTATATTACTGCATTATCATTACCCTTATATCCTTTTTAGGACGAAAATTTTTGTTATTTGAAGCCCACACCCTGGCTTTTGCCAGGGGCCGCAATATAGGCAGGCCATCAGTATGGCCAATTGTCTGAACGCGGTTTCTGGGACCTCTCCACGGTGATCCTCATCCACATGGTGGCACTTTTGTGTCATCGGGTGTTTATCGCTTGTGTGATGTCCTGGTGGGGTAAAAAGTCAGTCAGTCAGACATATTGCTGCACCACACAACGGTGATCATCGTCAACCGGATCGCCCACTGGCTGGCCGGTTGACGACTTCGTCACCGGTCGGGACAGTATTTGGGACAGTATTTTGGGACAGTATATCAACACTGCATGAGTCATTTTCAGAGCGCTTGTTAGCGTGCAATGCAAAGCCATTTTATGTGGCGATCAAAACAAAGACAATTATAACTTGAAGCTCCAACTTTGGAGATACTGGTTGATGGCAAAGGACCACCACCACCTCCACCACCACCACCACCACCACCACCTCCACCACCACCACCACCTCCACCACCACCACCACCACCACCACCTCCACCACCACCACCACCTCCACCACCACCACCACCACCACCGGTGATGAGGTAACTTGTAGCCCAGTGAGTATGTGTTTAGTCGTAGATGCTTAGGCCTACGCTCCAAGGGAGACAACCCACAGACCAACATTGATGTAATTCGTATCATCTGTCTTACAAATAGAGTTAGCAGTTCGGTGTAGACACCAGCTAAGGCTAATTATCGACTAGCTAAGTAAAGTAAAGTAACAGTCTTTTATCAACACCTTCAGGCGTAGACCATATTTTTATATACTAATCGGTCCTTGGTGGGTAACGTGGTTAGCATCACGCCAACCGCCTTTACTTCCCAGCACTTCACCTGGTACCAACTCAAGGCTGGGTCGACCTAGGATTCAAAGTATTTGTAATAAAAAAGTCCGCTAACCCACGACCTTCCGTTTCACAGGCAGGCGTCTAGCCACCAAAGCTACGGCGACTCCGATTCAACTTGCTGCTGTTCCTTCCGTATTGTTTAAGGGACGTAAATCTTATATGTACACATACATTTTCTAAAAGTTTGTTAAATTTAGTAGCCTCCCTTTAACTTAAAAAAAAAGTCATTTCTTCTTTTTCTTCTCCTGCCTTTTACCGCCCCCACACCCCTACCCAGTGCAGTGGTTCTCAAACTGGGTGCCGCGGCACCTAGGGGTGCCACGAGCCTATGCCAAGTGAGCAGTGGCAATAATCAAGAATTGTAAATATCTGCTTGAGATCAGCGAATACATCAGTTTAAAATAGGAATACCGTGAAAAAAAGAGTTTTAATGGTGGTAGTATATTCAGAAAACAATGCTATTGGTAAAACTGAAGTGCATTCTCAGTGTATATTTACATAAAAATATTTTCACATAAACATAAGGTAAATAATGAAAAATTTAATCCAAACAGTTTCATTCATCGTGTTTAAGACAAAGAACATGAAATCTGCACTTATTATTTTTTCTTCTTCTTTTGCTTAGTATTTAAAGCGCTTTAAGAGTGAGTGTGTCGCAAAAAAAATTGTTTGCCCGAAAAGGGTGGCGCAGCGAAAAAATTTGAGAAACACTGCCCTAGTGGAACACAGACCCTTAACCAGCTCACTCCAATTTGTTCTGTCATTCGCTGTTACAAACAGCCCCCCCCCCCCCCCCATGCCCCACATGTCCCCTGCCTCTTTGTAACTTCACTCTCCAGCTCCCTTCTGTGTTTTTGGTCTACCTTTATTTCGATGCCCCTCTGGGTTCCAGTACAAAGACACTCTAGCTATATCGTTCTCAGGTTTTCTTAGCGTAAGTCCTATCCAGAGCCAGCGTCTTTTCTTCACCTCTTGGTCCACTGGAACTTGTTGAGTTCTCTCCCAGAGCTGAACATTAGTGAAATACTGGGTGCATTGGGCATATTAACCTTCTGTGGCCCTATTTTCTTCCCCCAAAAAAGGGTGGTCATTGGGGGGGGGGGGGGAGGGGTTTGGGGCAAAGACCCACAACTCCTTAATAAGCGAGTCGTTAGTTAAAGATAAATATTTAAAGGTTCGTTGAAGTTAGATGCTTTAGGTGTAAATATACAGATATCGCAGAACTGTTGTAGGTAATGCTACTGTGAGCTCATAACTGACATTATATCACTTTGGAAATTCCCATCAGAGCCCCGTCCTCATCTTCAGCAGCCGACAAAGAGTTCCAATGTCGATGACCACCTCTAGTTTGTTATGCATACGTTAACCACCCAGTCGTGCAGAACTAGCTAGCCTATCTGCCTGTTCCCTGTCTCCACCTTTGGGTGCTTTCTTAATATCCTACCCCAGATGACGTCACAGGACAGTCCAACATTTTGGAGGGTGGTATGACTGGGCTTCCCGGCTTTCTGATGCTTTTAACGACCATAAAATATCTAATACTGGCCCTAACCCCAACCCACCTACGTCCCGCGATGGAGTGCAGCCTAGGTCCTACGACTGCATGCAGCCTAGACCCCACGACTGCATGCAGCCTATCTCCCACCACCTGAAATATTAGACTGTCCCGTGACCTATGGAGTTCCTATAATTGGGGTATGATATATATACATTTCTCAACATGCCTTGTGAGACGGCTACAATCACGACATTCGTGTGCAGCTGGTTCTCAGCCCAGCTTAAAACTGCTGTGACTGCCTCATAATCTATTCCCAAATTAGAAGTTGCACTATCATACGCTAGACTTTGTTGCACTATCATACGCTAGACTTTGTTGCACTATCATACGCTAGACTTTGTTGCACTATCATACGCTAGACTTTGTTGCACTATCATACGCTAGACTTTGTTGCACTATCATACGCTAGGCTTTGTTGCACTATCATACGCTAGACTTTGTTGCACTATCATACGCTAGACTTTGTTGCTCTATCATACGCTAGACTTTGTTGCTCTATCATACGCTAGACTTTGTTGCTCTATCATACGCTAGGCTTTGTTGCACTATCATACGCTAGACTTTGTTGCACTATCATACGCTAGACTTTGTTGCACTATCATACGCTAGACTTTGTTGCTCTATCATACGCTAGACTTTGTTGCACTATCATACGCTAGACTTTGTTGCACTATCATACGCTAGACTTTGTTGCACTATCATACGCTAGACTTTGTTGCTCTATCATACGCTAGACTTTGTTGCACTATCATACGCTAGACTTTGTTGCACTATCATACGCTAGACTTTGTTGCACTATCATACGCTATAATTTGTTGCTCTATCATACGCTAGACTTGTTGCACTGAGCGTCGTCCGTTCGCTTTCACAATTAACCCTCAATGCACTTCTTCTGCCTCTTAACACTGAGCTGTTTGTATATGCAATCACACCACCTTAGCGGGAATGATCCTAAATCAATTGTTCAATTTCTGATTTTGCAGCATCTGCTGGCCAATCCCTGCAGACTAGAAACGAGTCTGCTTTTTGCTCTGGCACTTTTCCCTTACTTCTCTCCCAAACTGTTTCCAGCAGTTACATATCTCCAATTGTGTCTTCTGCTTGTGCCATCCAAGACTTCCCTCTGATCAATCTGTGATCCTTAGCTGTGTCCAGGGCTTCATGAAGAAGGTGGTTTCTGTCAGCGGCTGATGTATGACATGGCTTGCGGCACAATCTGCAATAGGCCGCAGTGCAAGGATGTATCGCGTACAAACTACAGGCAGCCTCTTGTACATCCTAGAATCACCCGCATGGCTTCATTCCACATGTGTTCAAGAGTCACCCGTTGAATCATCGATACTGTCGCCAGCCCAATTCCACAGTCCATCACCGAAATAATCAAGTGTTGGTACATTATCAACATAATTTTTTTTAACCATGTCCATTGCTACCATAATATTTCAGTGCATTTAGCCACTAAACTGCGATGTAGTTGTAAACGATGACAAAAGATGCCTACAACCCTTGTAAAGGCGAATGCAAGAAGAAAAAGAAGAAGAAGAAGAAGAAGAAAAGGGACAAACAATAAATAACAAACATTTGAGATACATAAGATAAGTTATTAACTAATATATATATATATATATATATATATATATATATATATATATATATATATATATATATATATATATATATATATATATATATATATATATATATATATAAACGGATTGCTATAACACATATTCGAGTTTCCAAGATTTATTCACATTCTGTTATTTGAACTTGTCCATAAATTTCTTCACTGTGGCTAAACAAGAAATATTAGATTTTGGATTTGACACTGCACATATCATCAAGTTCCGGTTGCGGCGAGCAACAAATATTTCCTCTTTTGCTTGCCCAATTAAAGTATTGGCGTCTACACTGATACAGACGTAAGTGGACCCCAGAAGAACAAGCCCAAAAATAACAGTGGTAACGTTGTCCAGCGATTTCAGAATGAATACAGCATCTTCGCTTGTGATCAACGTTTCACCAGTATTTGCAATCTTGTTTCCGCTTAAGTCAAAGACGGCGGCCAGCTTCAACTGTCCTTCTTGTTTGAGATTGTCTATAATTTCACTCCAGCTCATCAGTTCAAGCATTCTGAGAAGTAGAAGACACAGGGACACTGGTGTTAAAAGAATTTTCAGTATCAGTCAAAAGCATACAACGGCTGTATATACTGTTTCCTATTGAACTGTTCCCCATTTTTAAAGCTTTGAAAAATCTATCAACACAGAATAGAGTGAACCATAAGTTCCTTAAGTTTCCATACATAGATTTCAAACAAAGAAAAAATAAAAATCCTTTTTTATTTTCATATTATTTCTATGTAAATAGCCTCTAAACACACACACACACACACACACACACACACACACACACACACACACACACACATACGTGTGTGTGTGTGTGTGTTTGTTTATCCAGTATTTGATAGGTTATCAATAGTTTAATTTTTTTTAAATAACAGATAAATCGCTATCAGAGTAAAAAGATAGTGGCATCGGATTAGACTGGAAGATGGGCCAGAATTCGAAAATCTGACAGTAAAATATATTAAATGATGACCTAATTAAATATACGTCTTTAGATTTAAAAATTACAATGTTCTTTACATTTTTACAAGTCCCATCTACAATAGTTTTCAATTCAAAACTGCCCCCATAGTACCGGTATAATTACACGCCATCCTTAACATAATCAAACCACCCACCATTTTCGTACAGTCAACAGCACGTCGCGGGTACACACATGCAAAAACTATTCCACATGAAATCCACAGCTCACAGTGTCGTACCAATAGCTGGGGGGCGGAACTTTTAGACTCTCGGTCCAGAAATAGGGAATTTTATCAGCAAAATATAGCTTTCCAAGCGTCAGATGTCATCTGGCTATCGGTCACTTTGACCAGAAGTCTCTGCCCTGGTACTGAAAGAGTTAAAACTGTGGCACAAAATTGATCGTTCAGATGATATTATTTACTAATGTGTTAGAAAGGGAAGTTCTCGTGCAACGGGTAAAAAATAACTGTGTAAGAAACATAAAAAGAAATCGGTAAACGCATTTTCTTAGTTCCCTGACACTTTAGGTTTTGAAATGCTTTGGGAATAAAGATGATCTTTCAAATGATGTGATTACTAGACAGTGAATTTCTCCTGCATGACAACCTTTTTTTTTTAGACTTTTGCTTCTCCTGCTTTGAAGGGGATGGGTTCAGACTGGGGCCTTTAATCTTTCTCCTACCTTTCTCATGCCTGTCTCCTACCTGCCGAAGATTTATAACGTCTTTCGTTTTCCCCCGCATCTCTTCTGTCTTTCTCTTACACTCCGTTTCTTCCCAGCCGCATCAGTCTCTCTTATGTACCTATATTATCTGGAACGACTCTCAAGCCGTTGTCTTTCTTTTATTTCTTCGGCTTCTCTCCTTTCTCTACACTATCCCTGTGTTTGTAAATGATCTCCCCTCCCAGTTCTTCACCATCATTCGGTGCGTTTTTTTTTCTGAGAGTACATTAAAATGTAGCAATATACGGATGTGAATCGCGACTGTCACCCAATCCTTGAGAAAAAAAAAATGGCGGCTTGTGAGCTGAAATGCTATAGAAGGAATCCCAGAATACCATGGACAAAAACGAGAAGAAATCCTGACATTTTAAAAGATCTGACCATCAAGGAGGATAGGTCAATAAACAGCATCTTATCTTGGAAGCTGAAATATTTTGGTCATATCAAGCCATAAAGCGGATTGGAAATTTGTTTTTTTTTTAAGGCATGGCACCAGGAAGAAAGGCCAGAGGCCAACCAACACAAAAATGGGCACATGATATACATGACTTTTTAAATATGAAAGTACATGAGGCGGGATAGCTGGCGAGAGACCGAGTTTCCTTCAGGCAGACCGCGAAGAGAGGGACATTCTGCAAAGGACCTGCTACCTTTTGTGATGTGATATAAAAATGTGAAGGCTAATTTTTACCTTAGTGTTTTTGTAGCCAAGTCATTTCACCATAGACTTAAACTCTCGACCCTCTGTATGCTTGTGTGGTTAATCTGCGGAGCAGATTAAAAACACATAAATTACGATACCTAGACTGTCGAGAATCGTATTCCGACTTTGGTAAAACTAACGTTAGTCTCCACGCAGACCGCCCATTTACACACTAGCTCACTTCTGATTGGTAGTTTCTGCGCCTGTCCCCTTGGCACAAGATTACGGAGGTGTTCCGCATTGCCGTTGATATCGCGTGTTGTATATTTCAGCACGCCAGCGCTTTTAACATTGCAAAAACATGGACAAACTGGGTCTAACACAACCCACCTAGGGAGTGCTGCAACCAGCAACCCATGTCACATGCATTCTATTTCTCGGAATAAAAACGTAAATGCAAGACAAACCAGAAAGCGAACAACAGAGCGGCACACCCGTAACCTGCACATAAGTAGACCAGCCCAACAAACTTATTCATGAAAAGTGACCGACTTTGTTTAGGAAGATTAACCTGAACCTAACCACAACCAAAAGAATAGACATACAAGGATGTTGCTTTTGTGAGTTATTACGAGTTAAGGTTTAGTGGCCTATCTTTTACAAGGCGTTGCAGAAACAACGTTATGATTTTTCTAGTTGTTTGTAGCGTTACCATGCAGTTTTATGTTTTGTTGTGTTGCCGTGAAATAAGAAACAGAATTGGACAGGCAAAAACTGCATTTTATAAAATGAAAAACATCTTGTGCAATATATCTTTGTCATTCAGAGTTAGAAAAAGAATTCTTGCTTGCTACATGCATTGAGTTTTAACATATGGCTGTGAATCCTGGACAATCGGTAGGCAGGCCAAACAATTTTTAGAGGCCTCAGAGATGTGGTTTTACAGAAGAATGCTTAAAATACTTTCGGCCATGTTATGAGAAGAGGGAAAACAGAACATGTTGTGACCACTGGTAAGATCTGTAAAAGGAGGGATAGAGGAAGTCAACGAGAGAAGATGCTTGACAGTCTTGTTGCATGGCATGGAGGTGTATCGGCACACGAACTGATACATGCTGCAGGAGATCGCAGATTATGGGGAGGCATGATCGCCCACGCCAGTCGGCAAGGCCCCTGATGATGATGATGTGTTGCCGATACATCTTGATATATCTCTGCGTGTCTTCGGCTGTAAAGTTCTGGCGTTACGTCTGTCAATGGCGTCGTTAGTCTTGTTCCAGAACCTAAGTTTTATATAGAAACAGAGTAACACCACTGGCGGAAAGGGTACAGGGCTGTATACCCATTTGTATAGACTATAAAACACTCGATGGGTAAAGTGATCTACATCACGCCCGTCGCCTTTACTTCCCAGGACGTTACCTGCCCCCCACCCCCGTGTGGGTTCCGGGGCCCCACTATGGGAAAAACAATTGACCCAATGCCTACCCAAAAGCATGTCGTAAGAGTCGACTAATTGGGAGCTTCCTTCGAAGTCAGAGTCCATCTGCCTGAGAGGCAAGGAACCCACATTCTGCATACAGATCTGTCAAACGGATGCACACGCAACACTCAGGTTCTGGAACAGGACTGCAGTCCAGAAGTGGACGAACAACCAGAACTTTACGCCGGAGTTCACAGCCAGTGAAAGCGAAGAAGAAGAAGAAGAAGAAGAAGAAGAAGAAGAAGAAGAAGAAGAAGTTACTTGGTCCTCCTTTTTGGCGGGGTCCAGCTGGGATAAAAGATAGGTTTTAAAATTCGCTTCACAATACGTGATCTGGACTGTTGAGATCAGTGCTCTAACATTGTAAACTGTTTTGAGGGACACAACCAACAGTGGCTTTGAGGGGCTTACATTTTTTTCCCTCCTGATTATAACGTAGAAAGAAAATCATAACAGAAGTAATAATTCAAATAAAATCAACATAGATTCCAAAACAATAGTATAAAACCCAAACGTGTATCGTAAAGTTTATTCTGCACAATATTTATATAAACAATAACTAAAACGATTAAAATATTGAATACATTGCTTAAAGCAGTGATTCCCAAACTGTGCGCCGCAGCGCCCCGGGGAGCCGCAACCTCCTCAGACGGGCGCCGTGACCTCTTCACAGGGGCACTGCGAAATATTCGAATATACACGAGTTTGTTTTTGTTTTTTTGTTATCTCTTACATACGAATAGTCATACTTTTACTTAGGTTGGGGTGACGTTGAAACATTTTAATTGAAATAGGACGCCGCGACTAAGAGAAGTTTAGGAAACATTGGCTTAAACTATTGAACAAATTGTATTATACTTGAAACACGTTGCTGTTTACAACCACGCCATGCATTTATAAATAAGCACAGTTACACTAGGAACAGCCAACATACAATGCTTAGCAAGCTAGACGTACTGTAAGCAATAAAACATATAGAAAGTCGCCTAGACTAGTGAGACAGCAATCTACATGATATATGTATATACATACATTCTTACACTCGCTTCATAAACTGCTTGAAGTAAACTAGACACAGCCAATAGTTGCACGTTTCTAATTTACTCTACATTAGATACATACACAAGACACAACCAACTGTCAGACGTGTGCTCTTGATACAAGCAGGCTGACAATAGAAGATGACGGTGTTGGCTGAAACAATCTGTCAGTATCTTTTTTTCAAGTGGTGACACCGTTACTGTATGTATGGCTCGGAAAGAAGGAAAAACAGGAAGGGGCCTGGGGTGGGGGTGGGGGTTGAATGTAGTCAGAAGGTGGTTTTCAGATGGTAGGCAACCGTAATCACTTTTATTTATCATCATCATTATCAATCGAAATTTATATAAAATAACTCCAATAGGTTGAGAAAAAAAAGCTAGTTTCGGAAGCAGGAAGGCGTGCATTGAGTTGTGTTGAGTTGAGTCAAGAATTGACATCGCAGTAAGTAAAGTAAAGTAAAGTTCCCTTTTCACGCCTTAGGGCGCATCGGGCATATGGGCAGAGCGTCCCATATTTTTACAGACCATCAGCACTCTGTGGGTAATGTGGTCAGCATTACGCCGGCTGTCTTTACTTTCCCAGGACAGCCCATCCTGGTACCCATTTTAGGCTGGGTCGACCTGCGACGTCCCCATACCACGACA